GCTTAGAGACAGGAATCCTCATATCATCTTGGTAAAATGGTTGTCCAAACTTTTCTTGAAAACTTCCAGTGATGAAACACCCGCCACTCTGGGAGGAAACCTTTTCCACTGCTTGAAAATTCTCATTGTCAGGAAATTACTCCTTAGTTCTGGGTTGGAACTCCCTCTGATGAGCTTCCCACCATTGCTTCTTGTCCTATCTTCAGGTTCTAGGGAAAATAAATCAAAACACCTCCTTCTCTATATTGGAAGAGTGCTATCATGACTTCCCTAAGACTCCTCTTTGTTAAGATATCTTGTTACTTTAGCCATTCTTCATAGGATTACTCTTTGGACCCCTTATCATTTCCGTTTCTCTTCTCTGCGTTCTTTCTAGAATCTTCCAACATCTTTTTCCTAATGTGGTGCCCAGAACTGGATGAAGCGTTCCAAATACAGCCTCATTAGTGCGATGTAGAGTGGTACTATTATTTCCTTTGATCTTGATGCTATCCCTCGATTGATGCAGCCCTGGTCTAATTTGGCTCTGCAGCACACTGATGACTCACACTTAAGCAGTGGTCCACCAGGATCCCTCGATCCCTCTCATAGGCACTACTGCCTATCATGCACTGGTGCATCCAATTTTTCCTGCCCAAGTGCAGGACCTTACTTTTCTCACCACTGAACTGCATTTCATTGGATAGGACCCAATGCTCAAGTCTGCTAAGATCCTTCTGAATCTTCAATCTACCTTCTAAACTTAGCATTAGCAATCCCTCATCCACAAATTTGATGAGTCGCGTTCAATCTCTTCATCTAGGTCAGGGGTATCCAACCCCCATTTCACAGCCTGGTGGTGGGCCACAGCCCGTTCAGAACCAGTTCATGGAAATGGTGAACAAGAACATGCATGCAAGTGTGTGAAGCTGCATTAGTGAAAGTGGCATGTGCACTCAAAGCCATCCCTACTTTCCCCATGTGTGCTGCTGCTGCCTCTACTAGTCTGCCGAGCCGGAATGTAGATCATTTATGAAGAAGTTGAAGAGCCCTGGTCCAGGGGTGGGATTCAACTGGTGTTACTACTGGTTTAGTGACTATGTTTTGCGCGCGCATGCGCGGTTTGTACATGCATGTACAAAACATTAAGCTGTGCCACCCGGACAGCTGAAAAGCGCTGCGCACAGCATTTGAAAAGCCTCTTTTTTCCTGCTTTTTCAACCTCAGCTGTGGCGCGCAAAGCAGCTGAGGTTGAAAAAGCAGGAAATAAAGGACAGGTAAGAGCCCAGGCGGGCGGGTGGACAAAACAGCAGCAAACACAGAACCGGTTTGGTGTCTGCTGCTCTTCAGAGCTATCGGTTCTATAGAGTCGGGCAGAACCGGTAGCATCCCACCCCTGCCCTGGTCCCAAGACATCTCTATATCTAATGAATGTTCTCAGGCAGATCCCTTCAGCAAGGTGGCTACCCAGCTCTGACAGCAAACTTCACCTGTTTTATCTTCTCTCTCTGTTCTGAAGCACTTCCACTGGAGTTGATATGGAGACTCTTTTTATACATGGCCATGCGGGTTTTCCCTTCACTCCTCTGAATTTTGGGGAGACGGGCCCTCTCTTGCTGCTGCCGAACTTTCAGCTGTTCTATCATGCGCTGGTTATATCGTTGCATTTGCTCACGTTCCTGAAATATAAATCACCAAAGTCAGGGGTGGGATTCTACCAATTCGCACCTATTTGCTAGAACCGGTTGTTAACATTCTAAGCAGTTCAGAGAACCAGTTGTTAGAAGAAATTACTGGTCTAATCCTGTAAGGAAGGCAGGAAGGAAACATTCTGGTGTTGCTTACAGAAACTGCCTCTCTGTTATCCCTTATTACATTCTTGGCAGGACTAGACTTCCTGTCTCAGGAACTTCTCTGGAGTTATTTTCCCCTCCTTTGCTTGTGTGGAGTGACCATTCAAAGTTACAATGGCACTGAAAAAAGTGACTTATGACCATTTTTCACACTTACGACTGTTACAGCATCCCCACAGTCATGAGAGGCCAGGCGAGGAGATGCGTGCCTCGATGTGAATGATATTGAGTTGGCCACACCCAGCCAATAACATGACCACCAAGCCATGTCCACCCAGTCACATGACCACCAAGCCACGCCCACCACCTAAGCCACGCCCATAGAACCGGTTGTTAAAAAATTTGAATCCCACTCCTGACCACAGTGGTGGGAACCGATGTAACCACAGTGGTGGGAACCATATTACATTCAGAGACATCAATGGCAAGGAGCCACAAATTATTGAACCAAAAAACCCAAAAGGGTTGTTGGGGTGGAGAGAGAAGTAAGATCAATCTGGAAAACTTGAAGATGCAGAGGAAGCTAGTATCATTTTTGTTTCTGAAGGAAATAACATCAATGCCTCCAGTTCTTATGAATGCATCCCTAGTGTAAGCTATTGGGAACTATCACAGAGACAACAATGCTAATTAAGCCAGCTGAAACATAAAAGCTATCATAGAAAGTTGGCAAATTACAGATCTACCCAGTGGGATTTCTTAATGGAAATCATAATCATTATGTTATTTATGTGTGGAAAGACTACCTGTTCAATGCAAAGTGTAGTCATGTGTAAGAAACTATGCACATAAGCAATATATGAATATTAGCGATCATCCAGACCTACAGTACAGGTGCCAATATATCAGAGGCACAATATATATTAGTATTCTCCACATTAGAAGAAACATTAATCTCTAATGGAAATGAAAGGCATCTTGTTTTATAATGTAAAATAAACAGTTTTGCCAAAGATTCAATGCAATTTCTATCACAGCAAAAGGCAAAAATAGAACATTTGATCTAATGTTGTTGTTTCTTTCTCTGAAATCAGAGTTTAATCTGATTTGAAGATATTTTGTTTAGCAAACTTGACTATAATCCCAGTGGATATTGGAAGTACAATCCAACACATTGAGAGAATCCTAATTTAGGAGAGACTTAACTCTAAGCGTGTGTCCTCCCCCTAATAACTCTAGACGGTTGTATTATAATCAGAGTACTCCTTTCAGGAGCTTAGAAGCCCACAGTTACCATACAATTTTAAAACTTCAACATTATGATGGTCTACCAAATAAGCTTTCCCATATCTCCACACTCTGATTCTTTTGCACTCTAGATTTATATATCTGCAACTTTAGATCCCACCTATCATCCAAAAGAACCGAGAATGGAAAATGCTACTTACCTTCTCGTGTTTTCGGAGCAGCTCGTGTCTCTGGAGGAAATACTGATCTTTTAGTTGCTGTTTCAAAATCTGGTGCTTCTCCTGCAGATGGTGCTCTTCAAGATCCCAAATAGTAGCTTCTCGGTCTGCAGGGTTAAAATAAATAAATAAATATAGTTGTTCAATACTTGAACAGTGAGGGGAAGAGCAACTGTTTCAATCTCGGCATATCTACCCTCATGCTCATTTTCTGTCCCCTCAACCTTCTCTTTATATTATGACGTAATTGGCCTGAAATTAAAAGGTGAATGAATGACAAGAGCAGCTGTTTTTCTTTGCACAAGGGTTCCCAAAGCAAGAAAAGAGGAAGGATATGTGTGTGTGTGTGTGAGGGAACTGACTGCAAAATCTTTGCTACAGAGATGGAAAACCTGTGAGCCTTTAGATTAGTTGTTAGTACAAATAATCATTTTCCAATTGGTGTTACCTTGAAGCATCTCCTAATGTAGGAAGCTTTTGCATGCAACTTTCCTAATTCACATTTAAAAGAAAAATAATAAGCCTCCCTTATGTATAATTTTGCATATGAATTCCATTTTAAAATATTTTTCTGGTTTTTTTGGTAGATGATCAGGCTGAGCCTGAGAAGAATGTTAAATGCACCATAAGTTTGGAGTCACTATGACCCCCCAAGAGACCTAAGTCCAACCCCCTGTCCAGGGTTAGGATTAGGTTTAGGTTTAGTCTTAGTCTGCTTACTCTTATCTGGCACCAATTTGCCTTGACTGTTAGTAGATCAGGTTCTTGTATATAGGTTGCAGGGAATAAAGCTGCAGTGCTTTTGAACTCTATACTGGCTCCTGGTTTCCTGAACTTGATACTTTTTTCTCTTTGCATATCTATTCCTTATATGTACTTTTTAAAATAATACAAACACTTTTATGTACATAAAATACGGCTTTGTGACAGATGAGATCTCTTCCCATCATATCTTTTACAAATAGTTCTTCATAGGAGATCTTTTATTAAAGAAAGATGAAAAACCAGATACTACAATCTGGGAAGAATTCATACTATGATGGCTTTTGCTTCCTTAGAAATCTGTAGCAAAGATTTACTTTTACATATCTATTTCTGTTCTTAATTTTTTGATTCCAACTCTCACTTCCCACTAGCCAGAAAGCTGGAAGGTGTAGATCTGGAATATTACAAGTTTCCCCATCCTTGTGTTATAGGTAAGCTCTATTTTTGATATTTTATTGTTGGCTTTCAAGCTAGCACTGTGACAAAAAGTGGTTGGAAACTTGTAACTTCAGATTAATTGGCTACTTTTCCCAAAAATAACTCTCTATCTTAAAACATTATTTTAAAAGCTTAAAATATTATTTCGTAGTATAAATACTGATGAGCACTCAAGACAATCCAAAGGCATGCTTCTCATTACTGTAAAGGATTTGCATCCTTCCTGTTTACAGCGTTGCCAATGCTCTCCAATAGGTTGCATTGCCTTTAAACGAAAGCATATTCTTCTTAGTCTGACTTCATTGTTCGTAATCCATTCTAACTGGTCCATTTAAGGAAAAAAAAGCACCTCTCATAAGTTGCTGCTTTTTATTGAGGCAATCTCGTTCTTTGTCACAGATCTCTTTCCGATTCTGAGCTGTAATGTTTTTCATAGCCTGCTCCAGATCCTCAGACTGTTTGGCTATAAAGTCTTGTTCCTGGAATGAGAGAGGAGATGTATGAATGTATATGTCTTGGCCGGCCAGAGCTTTCCCAAATCTGCCAACTTTTAGATATGTTGGGATGGTAATTCTCAAACTAATTAGAAACTAGAATTCCGGACTATCTGAAGATTTTGAGATAATCCATAGTGTTTCTGGTTGGGAATCTATGTTGCTGTAAGAGTTTGTGCTACAGTGTCAATTAAATCTCTCTCGTGTCTTACCATAACTTGCTTTTTTTGTACAAATTCATCCATCTTCACTTTCATGCTGCTCTTGCGTTGTTGCCGTGGGAGCTTTTCAATGTCATTTTTGAGCTTCATAACAGAGAAAAAGACAAGCAGTCAAACTTTTGAAATATTCAGAACCACTAGGAAGCCTTTTGTAGCTTAGAAGGATCTATAATAGGGTTTCATACATTTAGCAGAAAACATTGGAGTGCAGTCAGTTTTTTGTTTCTCTTCTGTCTCTCCTTCCTACTATCTTGCTGTTGCTCATTCTTTTATTATTGGCCATTTTTAAATTGGATTTGTTCCCCAAATTCCTCCCTAAATACCTTTCTATTCAGCAGTCCCACCTTGGTCAACAGAATGTATTTCTAGTGAGTCTATACAGAAATGTCTAAAGATGTTGAAAAAGTTTGTGGAAGAAGTGAGATTTGAACCAGGAACTTTACAATTCACTCATTAAGCAACTTCATTAGTTCTTCCTCCCTTCTCTCTCACCCCACGTTTTCACTCTTCTTTCCCTAACTCCCTTCTCTGTATTCCTGGATATTTTTTTTCCTCCTTAGACTGGTTTCTTCATCATCTGGATTTCACCTTCCAGCCCCTTGAATTTTTTTTTTGTTCGTGACAAACACTTTAACTGACAGCTGGGCTGGCATCCTAACATTATCCTAGGATGCAATAATTCAAATCGGCAGCTTTACCTCTTTCTTTCTTTGTTTCAGCAGTTCTTGAAATTTAACCAGATCCCGTTCTTGCTCAGCACGGATACGTTTAGCTTCATCTCGCCGGTGCAGTGCATGATCTTGCTCCATTTTTTCAATCTGCTGCTTCTGTTGCCGTTCTAGGTTTTCTAGTTCCGTGTCATAAAATTTCTTCTTTGACTATACAAGGAAAGACAGATAGAATCTTAATTCAGTCATTAAAAGCAAAGTTTGGGGGGTGGGGGGAAACAAGCTTAGGTATCTCAGTTTGGTTTCATATAAGGATCATTAGTTAAGTTCATATTAATTAATTCATATTAAGGAGAAACTTCCTAACAGTGAGGACAATTAACCAGTGGAATAGCTTGCCTACAGAAAACATGGGTGCTCCATCATTAGAGGTTTTTAAGAAGAGTCTAGACAGTCACTTATCCAAAATGGTATAGGGTCTCCTGCTTGAGCAGGGGGCTGGACTAGAAGACCTCCAAGGTCCCTTCCAGCTCATTCTATTCTAAATCTAAAACACCCTCTCACTATCTTGGCTGTGAACATTAAAAAGTCCATTGCTGGAGCTGTAACTGAGAAGTAACACTTATTATTTCACCTTGGATTCAGCAAGAGAAAATAAGGCCGCTCACTTCTTCATGCTTGCCATCTTTATTTTTTTAATGCTTTAGTTTGATGCAATTTCTTTGTTGTGAGTCACCACAACAAATAGTTGTTGAGAGTCAGGCAGTATACAGGTTTAAACAATGGTAGCTGTGATGTGAGACCCCTGAACTAAAAGGATGGACAATATTTTGGGACTAGTGGCCTCACTGATCTTAATGCAATCCTTTGGGGGATGATAGGATTCATTTTGCTTATGATTGATTCAGCAAGGACAGTCTGGACAATAACTATTAGGATCTAACTGTGGCATCCTTGTTTGTAGGCTGTGGATTGCCTCTTTGTATGTGTGAGTGTGTGTGTGTGTGTGTTTGTGTGTGTGTTACAGTAGATCAGGAAAAAGCTGTTCCAAGATTCCTTCTACGTATAAGATTGGATGATGCACACTAACATCAGGAAAAAATAATGGGAAAAATTGCTCAAGTGCAGGAATAATTTCAGAGAACAGTACAAATGCTCAAAGAATGAGAAATTCCTATTAAGCCTGATTGAAAACTGGGAATGTATAGTGCTGAAAAAACTTGAGGATGGTGACTGTTAACTGTTTAAATATAGTATTTGAAACATCATTGCCATTTTTTTTGAAGATTTAACAATAGAGAAGCTGCGTAGGATTCAGCAATGCTGATACTGGCAGATGAAATGATTTCATCTGTTTACATAACTCTTCTTCAACCTTGTATTCTCCAGATGTGTTGGAATATAGCTCCAACAATTCCATATTACTATAGTCATGATGTCTGCATGCCCTTAGGATAACATCTGCAGAAGACCCTGAATTAGAGGTGGCATACTATCAGACATAAGAACAGTGACTGAAAGAAATTTCTTCTCCCAGAATATTTAACTAAATATGCTGCTTCCTGACATTCTGAACATGCAGGACAATGTGAAAAAGAAATGCATACCAAAATTTTACAACACAAAAATGCATAACTAAAAATTAATTATGTTTGGATGGGAGATTCCTGCAATTTTTTAGAAGTGTGAAAAATTATTAGGGATAGAAGTAAGAATAGTCCTTGTTTTGTATGTGCTAAGTCGGGAATATGAAACCTTGTATGCTCCAGATGTTTTGAACTGCAACTTCAAAAAATCAGCATGTGAAGTTCTTGGAGTTCAAAATGTTTGTGATTTTGCTGCTTGATATTATGATTTTAACAAGGATCTTCCAAAGGATCTTCAACTTTTGAAGACACTAAAATATAATCATAGGAAAATTATTCTGAACAATAAAAGATTTCAATGTCTACTACACCTAACATCCACAATCTACAGTAAAGAATATTGTTATATTATGTTATGTTATGTTACAATACGATATACAATATATAATGTATTGATACATTCACACAAGTAAGATTGCCATTCTATCCATAATTCTTCAGGAAACTGACATGACTTTTAATAATAATGTTTAGGTTTCTTCCTAGCCTAATTAATACCACGTATGGCTTATTAATTTTTCTTTTCTCCATCTTCGGCCAACTTCTAGAGACGACAATTCCTATTCCCACTTACATTCATTTCTTGCTCAAAACGTTTTAACATTTGTTCCAGGAGCAGCTGATGTTTGCTTGTTAACTGTGTCTGATTCCGATGTTCCTCTTTCTGAAGTAAACGTAGCTCCCGCAGCTCCTGGCGCCTGCAGAGTTAAAGTAGAACAGAAGTTTAGAAACAAAAGATAAGCTTTCCCTTTAAGACTAAAGCTACACAGAAGCACATTTAGGCTAGCATAATCATAATGAAGACTAGCCAACATAGGCTGCCTACTGCCATCTGCATTCTAAGGATCTAGAATCTTCTTGAGGGGAGGAATGACTCTTTCAATCACTGGCATAAGCATATACCACTTTCGGCCTGCAGGCAGAATATTTTAAAGAGGCTGATTTTTCCAGCTCTTTCTTGTTTATATTTGCACATCTGCCCTTGAATTATTCAGATTACACCATGCAAACATTTTGAATAAATGCAGTTTAATACAATCCGACAACTGCATGCAAGAATATATCTCTGTCCGAAACTTGGCAAGCTGAAAGAAATATAATGAACAACTCAGGTAAGTTTGTAGTGTTGACCTCTATTGAACTGAGTTTTAGAAAACTGTTGTCATATTCCACTTTTTTTTTGGTATAATTTAGATTTTACATCTCAAGCTGCTGCCAGACATTTATAGATTCCTGTGGTAATAAAAAGAACAGGCAAAAACATTAGCAATGATTGCTGAACTTTTCATTTTTCCCTTCCCCATTCTTGTTCTGTTGCATAATTTAGTGCTTTCTAGATGTCTTATTCTGCAACTCCCATAAATCCAAGCTAGCCTTTGGCCAAGCTAGATGGAAGACTGGATGATAATTCTCAATATCTGGTTCCATAAGATAATTTCTAATCTCTAGTGACATAACACAAATAAAAAATTATAGACCAATCTCGTTATTAAATGCAGACTACAAAACGTTTGCATCAATAATGGCTGAAAGATTAAAAAGATTCCTAATTGACTTTATTCATCCAGACCAAAAAGGGTTTTTACTCAAGAGACAAATAAGAAATAATGTAAAAATAATTCTGGATACACTAGAATATTATGAAACCCACAATGAAAAACAATTAGCATTAATATTTCTGGATGCACAAAAAGCATTTGATAACATAAACTGACAATTTATGTTGCAGCAACTAAAATGTATGGATTTCGGGGGGATATTCTTAAATATGACAATGGTGATTTATACTGAACCAAGGCTGAATCTTATTACCATCAAAAAATTCTTCCTAATATTTAACCTTTTCAGTGATTACCTAAACAGTCAGGCCTGTACAAAATCTTACAAACAAAACACAGTTTTAGCTTGCCTGAGGAATCTCATCTCTTCATCCTTCTTTTCATCTTCACTGATGATTTTTGAGGTAGTAACACTCACTTCCACTCCATCTACTACAAATCTTCTTGTTCGTTTCAGTGTCATGTTCTGCATTTTTGCATTCTACACATATAACAAAAGACAAGTGTAAAAAGATATTCTGGATACGAAATAATTATTTATTGTAACAAAACAAAATGTGTTTTATAAAAGCTTGACAGGAATCATAATCACCATGAGGAGTAGAGGGAGAACAGCTATTTTTTTAGTGAGAAAAGTGAGATTCCAAGATGATATTAAGAAATTAAAACAATAGATTCCACACATATTCTTGATTTGTATATTCATTTTGCTTTCAGTATTTGTATTTCAGGGAGGGAGAACACCCTGTCCAATTAGAAGACTTTGGCACAGAGCAGGAGGGACTGACAGTTACTGAATGCCAATCATTTTTTTCTGAAATTTCAAAATTTGAACCCTTTCTGAAATCACAAATATTTGAGTATCTTCTCTTTCCACCAAACAATAGGACTCGTCCTCTCTCACCATGCTTTATTATTACAGTATCCATCTCTAGGCAGGTAACATAGTATTATTTAGATTTTTCAGTGACATCACTTGCAATGGTGTTTCTTACCTTCCTACCCACTGCAACCCAAAACACAACCTGATTGCAGTAGAAGATTGAGACTTTCAAGAAGAGATTGGACTGCCATTTGTCAGAAATGATGTAGGGTCTCCTGCTTGGGCGGGGGGGTTGGACTAGATGACCTACAAGGTCCCTTCCTACTCTAATTATCTGTTATCTGCTGAATTTCCCAGCCCTACAATCCAAGGATGCATTGTTGCATCAGCAGATGAAGAGACCTGGAGTTTCTAGCTCACCTTGGCAAGCAATTAAAAAAATCAGCGGGAACAGGAGTGCTATTTCTGTTACACTGAATGACAACAGGAGGTGTTCCCTTTCAATCTCTTCCTAAGCAGTGCTTGCCATCTCTGGTGGCACAAAAGAGAGGCGGCTGCTGCTGCTGTGCTTTTTTGCTGATCATTCAGTGGGGGTGCCTACATAATGCACAAGCCCCATCCACAATCTTCAATTCTTACCTTTAGGGAATGGGACTCACTGCCTCTGTTCAGGGACAAAGAGATGTTGAGGTCCATACTCTCTGAAGCAGAGGTGCTTCCGGAATCAGAATCTCTCTTGAAGCTATCATTCTCAAACTGAGAAGAGTTCAAACTCCCATTGGGGACTTTTTCTTCAGTCGGTGTTTCAAGGAGGCTGTTTACAGTTTGGCTTCCCCAATTTGAATTCTCACTGTTTGCTGTTTCAGTGCTTTCCTTTTGGTGGTTGACAGCCTCATCCTCTGCTGGTTTAATGTTTTCATTGGGCTGTAATGCCTGGGGGCTGGTGCTTAACTTTTGTTTGGCACCAGGCAGGACTGAATAACTTTCTATTCCCAACAAATCTGAGCGCTCAGCAGTTTTGACCAGAGCTTCAGTTCTAACTTCTTCCTCCAAAAGCCTGCTGTCCTGTCCATTTATAGCTTCCTTGACGTGCTCCAAAGGCAACTTTGGTCCATTGGTTACAAGTGATAAGTGGTTTTCTTGAAGCTTTTCTCCTCCCGAACCTAGCTGGCTTGCAAGAAAGGAATCCCTCTTCTGAACGTCTTGAGGCTGAGTGAAGGAGGAGGGGAGACAAGAGGAAGACAATGAAATTATCCTTAAAAAAAATTTTTTTTTTGCCTGAAGGAACAAGAAAGAACAATTAAGGAACAGAACACTGAAAACACTGAGATAAAACAGAGACTCCTTTTAAGGGGAAACAGGATCACATTCTACTCCAGAAAAGAATTTTTGCAAACAAAACCATTGAAACTTAGGCTGAGGTAGGTCATTTGTTTCATCATTGAGTTGTTAGGGAACTTTGAGTGCTTAGAGAATATTCACCCTCCTTGCCAGCTTATGTAGTGGAGGTGGGGAGGAAGCAGAAGTTAAAAATAAAAGGGAGAGTTTAATTATCTCCTAGTAATTTGTCATTGATGAAGCTGCTTTCTCCTCTTTTGCTTCATCAGTTCATAGAAGGTCTCATTGCTAGTCTATAAATTGTTTTCCTTGCTACAGAACAGCTGACATCCTGCCGAAATTTTCCAGAAGGCTGTGTTTTGACTTTTCTTTGACACTGCTAGTGAACTGTTACTTGAAGTATATTGCCCCAGATCACTTTTTGCCAATTTTGCTTTCTTCGGTCTGCCTTTACACTTCTCAGTTTCTGATGATCTCTCCTCTGTGAGCCTTTTGTCAGGGTTACAGGATCTCCAATTTATAAAATAGAAAAAGCCTGTAACCAAAAATACTGAATTTTTGTCATGCCCCCTGGCATGCTATCACAAGAATAAGGGAAGCAGGATGGGATATTGGACATCTGAGTGATTGAGTTGTAGCACTATTAAGGCCGAAGCAGGGATCACCATGCCTACCTCTACAGACAGAGACAATCTCCTCCTCTTCGTCCATATTGTCCAATCTTCAGAATGTCACTACTGTGGATGTGCAAATTCAAAGAGTGGAAAAAACTCTAGGATCTATGGTGAGATACCTTGGCAGGAAGATCTACTGGGAATTAGCTGTTATACTGAAGACCCTGGCTTGTGCAGTCAGCTGGCTATTGATGGCTATGTCTGAATGGAGATTGGGAACCTGGACAAAGTATAATACTAGAACAGTATCTCAGTATTGTGTCCTCTGGGCCTACCATACAAGCTTTCCTAGGAATGCTATTCTTTCATCTGAACTTGAAAAACGCTTTTTGTCTTTTCCTATGAACCTAGAATTGTAAGTCACCTGGTCACTTGGGTATATTGGGTGGCAATAGAAATAAACTTTATAATTTTTTAATAATTTTAATAATTTTTTGCTTATCTTTATTTAGATTGGACTGGCACCTTTGTGTCCTGATTTCAATTCTGAATGCACCTACGCATTCATGAACTCAAACTATGAACAATTTTGCGGTAGGACAAGGTATACAGGCTGGGACAAGTTCTAACCTATCAAAAGTATAGAGATTTGTCTTGTATTACCATTATATTCCTTGTTTTCTGTCAATTAGATTGGCCTTATAATAGAGGGACAATACGTTAATCTACTACATTTTTTTGCCCTTCCTCCAGTGAATTTAAGATAATGTAAATAGTAATATCTTCTGATTTATTCTCACAATATCCTTGTGAAGCAGACTAGGCTGAGAAACAGTGATTGATTCAAACTGTCTTCTACTATGGTTTTCAAACAATTATTCACTCTCTAGCAAAGTGCTAAGGCAAAAGACTGGAAGGGTGATGATTAATAACAACTGCATTTATAAAACCTCAGGACTCCTATTGTCCCAACTAGAACCAATAATTCTTTTTGGACTATGCAAGTTGCAGTTGTTCAAATCTAAACTGGAGCTGCGGTGAGGAAGGGCACATTGTTGAAAGCTCTTCATTAGAAAGAACTAAATTGGGACTGGATTCCCTGCCTTTCATCTGAGTAAGGAACAAAAGCAAAGCTGTTATCTATCTCCTTTAAAGTAACATGCAATTTGACTTCAGGAAACCACTCCTCTTGCTTTGAGGATTTCACCAAATAATCACTATCAAGCATTTTTTTTTCACTCTTTCAACATACAAAGGAGTAGGGAAATTAGTAAGGAAAGCGCCTAAAGGTGGAGCTGAAGTTTTCCTGGAAGCAGAAGGCTTCAGGCTGTCCTTCTACATAATTTGTATTAATGTCTGTCCACACCCCCATCCATTTCACTTTCTTTTCAAACTGTGTATTGCTCACCATTGTGCTGGATAGAATCTGAGTTGCTTCAAGTATTATTAATAAAGTTTTGGCAGCTAGTGAAGAGAATGCTGTGCCAAAACTGTATTCTGTATTTTTAACTCTTTTCTTTCAAAAGGGATGGGAAAATGCTTTTCCAACGGAAAACAACATTTCCTGAAATCTCATGGAAAAAGTGCAAGATTCTTGCAGCTCTTTTAGTTTAGGAGATGGTCAAGGAATGAAGGCAGATATTCTGTCTCTCATTGTGGAACCATTCTATATCAATCTTCATCTCTCTTGCTTCCCATGCTTCAATTACATTACAAGAGAGGCAACCACAACAGAAATTCTCACTCGAGGCTTCTACTTATTAGACAGCCAGAAAGGCTGCAGAGGTGAGGACTAAAATGAAAGACAAATCGGACAGAACAGCAGCATTTCTGCCACCTCATTGTATTAAAGCACAAAACCACAACAAAAATAAAGAAAACCTCAGAATAAAAAATAGAAACAGAAACTTTATTCATAAGGGAAAGAAAGCTCAAGAAATGGACAGGTTTCAGCCCAGAGCAAGGGCAGAATGAGAGTCACTAAAATGGTAGTAGAGGTCTGACGATAGATTTTTTTGACTAGATTTATAGACATTTGGTGTGGCCCAGGAAAAAATGAAATAATGTATGGTTTGGTAACTGGAAAAAATAGATTATAGTAAAAATATAAATCATGTTGCAATTCTAGACTTAAGAGGTTAATTTACATGCATATTTATAACTGCTGTAAAGAAAATTGGAAGCTACTTCTTCATAGTTTCTTTCCTTTTTTCTCCCCTTCATTTGTAGCGTTTGCTTCTCTTTTTTTCTTCTTTTCCCCTGCATTCTAAATAGTCATTATTGTAAGTATTTATCTTTCATTTTCAAAACTGCAATAAAGTTATATGAAAAAAATGTTCTAAAAAGGAACTAAAGTCATTCTTCAACTGCAAACAATCTAAACCTCAGCTATATTTCCTACAAACCAGAAATCTTGGATTTCCTGTGTTGCATTTGATAAGCTTCAGTGATACTATAGTTGTAGGGACACAAACCTCTTACAAAGCATTCATACGTGCCTTAGTTAAAAAGTTTGTTACAATTCACAACCTCCATGCAATGAGGTACAAATCTTCCTGCGTACTTGACACAGGAAGAGAGCCTGAAGCCACATGTGAGTATGTATGTGTATCCGTGTATCTGTCTCTCTCTGTGTGTAAACCTCAGAAGCAGTGTTGGGATTCAATTTTTTTTTTATTGTTGAAAAGTTAGTTTGTACAGGCTTCCATCTACCTCTTTCAAATGCTGTCTTTATTTTATTCATGTCAGGGACAAAAGACAGAAAGAGACAAAAGTTGAGCTTGCTTACAAGGTAAACTCTACAGAAGATTTTTCTTCTTTTTATCCAGAGAAAACCATTGATGGTTGGGAATGTGCAGAGCTTGCCCTACCTTAACCCACTTTGAAAAATATTTTTTGAAATAATATTCTTGTTGTCGGCTTGTGACTGCAGATCTCACCTTGCTTGATAATCCTGAATCCTTCGAAGGACTAAATGCCTCTTTCCTGTCCAAATGTCTATCCTTCTACCTGTCCCAGCTAAGCCTGAAAGCAGACAGTCCAGCCCAGCCCAGCCCAGCGAGTGTCTTGCAGTTTTAATCCTAAGCAGCTAAAGGCTACATTCTTCATAGTTAAGGATGCCAAAAATTAAAACTTTTCCTAGGGGACATATTTGTCCACACAGTGTGTGCATTTACTGAGAAAGCCATCTTGCTAGTGGAAAGGGAAGGCTTGGCTCTCTGCCCAAACATTGTTTGAAGGATTCCTGGCTGCTGAATGAAGAGCAGCCTCTTCCCATCCAAGGAGCCCATTCTTCCTGCCCACCTGCACAAAAGCAACACGACTTCTCTCCTCTGCCAGTAGCTGCAGGGGTCAAAGGTAGCCAGCAGTTTGCTTTCAAAAATCCAGTTAATGTAATTTGTGGACTCTGAAGCATTTTTAATATGAACGTATACATATGTCTGTGTCTACTAACTAATGCATATGTGTATAAGCACACATTCAGGTTTATGTATGGGGAAAAATAATATTTTGTCTTGTTTCCTTAACACAAACATCATTTAATGCAACGAAAGGAATTCAACTTACAGAGGCAGATTCTGACGAGTCCTCCTCTTCAACTTCCTCTCTATTGTCTTCAATTTCCTCCATCACTTCAGCCTTTGCCTCTGCCACCAGCTCACGTAAGGCTTTATTAGTGGTGACCTTGCTGACAAAAGGATGCTAAAAAAAATCAAGGTCATGAGTACCAGACTAGTCTGATTCTTTTGCAAATCAAGAGCAAGATAGTTCAAAGGCCTGGTCAACTACTTCCCCCTTCCTTTGCTACTCAAATATTCATGTACAATACAGGTAGTCCTCCAACGTACGACCACAATTGACCCTAAAATTTCTGCTGTCAAGTGAGACATTTGTTAAGTGAGTTTTGCCCCATTTTATGACCTTTCTTGCCATAGTTGCAAAGTGATTTATTGCAGTTGATAATTTTTATAACATGGCTATTAAGTGAATCTGGCATTGTCATTAGTTTTGCTTGTCAAAATTGGCAAAAGGTGACCACATGACTTTGGGACACAACAATGGTAGTATGGATGAGCGAAGCATCTGAATTTTGATCCGTGACCATAGGGATGCTTCAAAGATTGTAAGGGTGAAAAATGGTCATAAATAACTTTTTTCAGTGCCACTGAAACTTTGAACAGACACTAAATGAACCGTTTTAAGTTGAGGACTACCTGTACAATGTATTGATCACGAGTTACAGGCAATCATATTACAATCTCTAACTGTAAAATAAATAATCATAAATCAGTTTCTGCACTACTGGGGCCAAAACATTTCCAGAAAATATCAGGAGCTAGAAGTATATTTAGTTATCAGTCTTTTACATAGTCAGACTGGTTTCTTTCACAGTTGTGGAATATGTGTGCTTCCAAGTAGCAGTTCTACACAAGCACGTACTCTCTTTGACAGTGAAACACTGAAGCTGGAAAATTGAACAGATAAGGCAAAGAGAAAATAGGAAAAGACATAAGGGCTAGTTGCCTTTTATAGCTTTAGAAAAACAGGTTTTTATTGCTTAATAAGTGCAACTGTGAACTGGAATTTTAAAACACTCCTCTTAAAATTGGACATTGTTGCTATGAGGTATGACAAAATTATGTTCTCAGGTATGACATTCAATCCATGGGACTCCAGTCAGCTTCACTACTGCCTATAGAAGCATTATGCATAAAAAAAACTGCATTCCTATGAGCAACTAAGGAGGTGAAATATACAAAATGTTATGTTAGGTGTCCCTCCATCGGAGATGAACAGGTAAGAAGTACCAATACCTAATCTTGTACGGTATATACACAGACTTACCTGGAAAAAAACACTTACTTTAGAATTATACTTATTTACATAAAAGAATTACACGGTTACCTTGCAATGTTGGCATTGCATGTGCAATCCTTACTCCTATTTTAGAAGTACACTTCCTCTAACCTCACAGGAAGAGAACAATCTCACCAAGCAAACCCATGAAGCAGCCATCAAGATTTTATTAATTTATTATTAAATTTATATGGCCACCCACGTTCACTTGCATGTGATTCTGAGAGGCATACCCAATTAAAACACAACTATTAAAATCTAGTAAATATATTAAAAACAATTAAAATATTTAAAGATTAAAATTTAAAGGCAATATTAAAACATTTTTAAATTATTTTTTTTAAAGATAAAATTTTTAAAACTTCAGGGTTTTCCACAATAGATATTATTTCATACTTTCTTTGTGTTAATGATGTCAACATAGTTTGGTTTTCACTATTTTTCTGCCAATAATCAAATTAATAACAATCAAATTAAAATCCCCCCCTCCACCGAATAGGTTATTTTTTTCCCCAAAAGTCGAAGTTAGCAGTAGGAAACAACAATTGCATTACTGTTCAATGCTGGACCAAAAATTAAACTGTATAGAATAGCCCTTCCCAACAGTGGTGGGATTCAAATTTTTTTACTACTGGTTCTGTAGGTGTGGCTTGGTGGCAGGGGAAGATTGCTGCAAAATCCCCATTCCCTCCCACCCTACTAACCTGATTTCCAGCTCCGTTCTCCTGTTCAGGGCAACAAAAGAAGACCCAGCCGATCAGCTGGGACTCGGGAGGCAGAGAATAGGTGGGGGTGGGGCCAGTCAAAGGTGGTATTTGCCAGTTCTCCGAACTACTCAAAATTTCTGCTACCGGTTCTCCAGAACTGGTCAGAACCTGCTGAGAACCACCTCTGTTTCCCAACCTGGGTACTCTCTCCCCCCATGTGTGGAATAACTCTCAGCAGCCATAATTCTCAGCAGTGTACAACATTTCAGAAGTACAAGGAAGATTGCACTAGATGCCTCAGAAAGCAGAACCACTCAAATGGCAGAGTTCTTTCTCCCATGAGGAACAACATTCCTACATAATTAGAATCTAAACTCCAGCAACCATCCAAGTTTTCTCTATATTAATAACCAAGGGGGAAATCTGTACTCCAACCAGAGAATGTGTGTAGATTTATGAGCCCTTCGCAGTGTCAACGTGTGACTCACTTGAGACGCTATACTTACTTCCAGTAATTGTGTGGCAGTTGGCCGGGTCTCAGGGTTTTTGTCAAGTGCAGTCTTCAGAAAATCTCTGAATGCTGGAGACCTTTATGAACAAACACACGCATTTAAAAATGTCGGGAGAAAGAAAACCAGGATACCCTATCCTGGAGACACACTACATGATTTACAAATTGAAATTGGTGCTTTTCAGTAGGAAGAAACAAAGCAGCACAAATTTGCATATATATATATTAATACTCAATATTGGTAAAAAAAAAAAGTGGCCTTGATTAATTGCAGATCTACTACTGTTGTGCAGCTCAGATAGCTGTTCAGAAGCAAGTTACATGCTGTCATTCTGTTCCCAATTCATGCCAAAGACCAAATGTTAGCAAGCTCACGCAGGGATTAATGTCTGCCTGAGTTTAAACTAATACAAAGCCTTCTGTCAGACAACTGATTGCACCTTTCTCCCTTCCTTGCACCCCTATTTCTGTGCTGGCTGCCATGTAAGAGTAGGTAAAACACTTACTGCCAGTTTCTACATATAATCACAACAAATGTTTCACATGTGACTACTTCTGCTCAGTGATTTTCTAGCCAGAAAAGTTATACTGTCCTGTTCCTATGGAAGAGTTTTCCTCTTGTAATAGAAAGCCTAACTAGATGTACCTTCTAATAAACATTTTGTGTCCTGGGAGAGGTGAAAAAAAGCTTCAGAAAGTAAAAATATAAAGTTGCACTGTTTGGATATTTGCTGGGGACTGTGCTTTGCATTAAAAATATCATCCTAAATCACCACATTTCAAATTTTCACAGAAACAGAGAAAACTACATTGCACCAGTCAACTACAGGTAGCCCTCAAGAGCAGCAATTGGGACTGGGTTTGCTGTTGCTAAGCAATGTGGTCATAAAATGTGATGTCACATGACTATGCTGTTTAGTGACAACAATTTCAGCACTCCAGTTCTTCACTTCATTAAGTTAGGGCATCACACAATGACCATTTGTGACCTCCTGCTGGCTTCCTCATTGACTTTCCTTGTTGCAAGCCACCAATGGAGGTTGTAAATGATATCTATAACTGCTGCTATCCATAACTGTGAGGTTGCACCAAGTACTCAGATAGTAATCGTGTGACTATGGGGACATTGTGATAGCCAGAACTGTGAGGACCTGTCATAAGTATTACTTGTTTGGTGCCACCATAGGTTTGAACAGTTGCTGAACAAGTAGTTGTTAAGCAAGCACACTTGCATTTGTCTTAGAATGGAGGGAATCTTCCCTGTTCCTTATTATCATACCTATTTTAAATGGGGAAGTCAGGGAGAGAACCTGGGATCTTCTTTTTACAATGAATGTACTTGGGTATTAAGCTATTATCTTTGTTCATATCTCGGATTCTGCAAAAAAATGTGATATTATATAATCTTAAGGAAAGAAAGGCTGTATTTTAAGAGTTTGGAAAATGAAATCTTCTGGAAAACAGCACACTGCAATACATGTATATAAGAAATGGAAAATAATGATTGAAAAAATAAGGGCAATGATCGTGAGAGTTGTAGTCTAAAACATCTAGAGAACATCAGGTTGAGAAAGACTGCAAGGTATATTTTTGTATGTGTCAGCCCTTTGAGGTAGCCCAGAGTCAGGCACCAAAATCATGAATACTAAAACTGCTTTTATGTTGGGTTACAGTAGCGGAATCTTGCAAATTTCTCAAATTCCATTCCTGCTTTGTGTGGAGATTTATCTGACTATTGTCTAGGCTGGAACTCTTCTTCCCTCCAGGTTATTCTCACAGCCCACACTATCAAGTAACACCTTTACATACATGTTTTGCCTAACATTACCTAGTTTTGAGGAATAAGTGGAGATCTGTGTATAAACAAATTACAATTTAGAACTAACAGTCATCAACATGAGTGATATCTCAATGTTACGCTTACTAGATATTGCTGGAATAATTCTTTCCATCAGCTGCAAAACTCATGGTCAATGGTGAAAGGGGCAGAAGTTATAGTGAACCTGGAGATCACCACAGGGAATCTTAATCAAGACTAGGGATGCATAATCCTTTCATTGGAAACATTTCAACTGATGCTCTTGACAAACTGGGAAGAGCAAAATCTAATTAAAACTACTTTAATTGACTTAATTAAATAAAGTTGAGGTGATTACTCAGCATGTTTTTAATCATTTCCCTTTTCTGCCAGATTAAATATTACAATTTAGTGGCAAGTTATAGAGTAGTCCTGAGGGATGCATTTAAAGCATTACAGCTTCAAGTAAGGGCTTGGTGCCGTAGGCTGTATGTTTCTGAACTAGTCCAAGATTATTAAAAAATAAGAAAAACATTTCCCTTCCTCTGCTTATTCCTTCTTGAGAACTATTTTTATTAAATGGGTCCCAATTGGCAATGGCAATATTTTATAGCAGCTGGGAAACTCTAATAATTAGCTCTGTTGGCGGAGGCTGATGGTAGGTGGAATTCGGCAACAGGTGGAAAGGTTCCGCTTTTCAAATTCAACTTCTCAGGTCTTTTCTATCATATTTTTCCATTTGCTACAAATTTATTTTGTCTACTTACAAAGTCAGTGATTAATGTAGTTAATATAATGGTATGTGAAAATGACCTTGAAGGAGAGCAGAAGAGGTTCTGCTTAGGAAAGAGAAGGAATTCCCAGTGGCTTAACAGTCAGAGGCAGAAGTTTAGAAAGAACCTGCCCTAATTCATTGGGCAGTTAAAAGTGGTGATGGGAGATTTATATCTTCACCCTTGCAAGATTCTATGAATGTAGCCTTACAATAATGTGCAATTAGCTCATCCAGTTATACTTCCTGTTTTGTTTACCTGGGAATACTGACAATTATTATTGATAAAGGTGGGAGAGAGAGAAGACCAGGGCACTTCTTGTAGGTATTCCTGATTGTTAATGAACAAGAAAAGAAAAACTTCTCACCACTTTGATGGATAATTAAGAGTCGGAGGATCAGATTTGGCTATTTTCAGCAAGACCCTCATAGGGTTCAGCTCATGATGAGGTGGCTCTATTTGTGCCATTTCTATGAGTGTTATGCCCAAGGACCAGATGTCAGCCTTGTAATCATAAGGGGTGTCTTTCATAGTCTCACACATCACTACTTCGGGAGCCATCCTAAAAACAACAACAACAAAGAAAGAAGAATAAAATTCATTTTCGCTGAAAGTGCTTCTAAGAGTCAGATCTTGTTTTCAAGCTAAACTATATATATTCAACTAGTCTAGACTTAGAACTGACCATAAGCCTTAAAAGCAAAGATCTCCAAACTTAGCAACTTTAAGACTTGTGGACTTCAACTCCCAGAATTCTCCAGCCAGCTATGCTAGGAGTTGAAATCCACAAATCTTAAAGTTGCCACGTTTGGGGTCCCCTGCTTAAAAGTATAACTTTGCAACTAAACTATGAATGCAATATGAAAATTCATCCCTTCTACACTCAGAATGAACTAGCCAGCATCACAGAATGAACTAGCCAGCATCACTAGCCAGCATCCCTTCTACACTCAGAATGAACTAGCCAGCATCACAAATTCCTGAGTCCCATTGTCTTTGGTAATACCATTGAATATAACATAGAAACACATTCTCTACTGAAATTAACAGATAACAAAAATGGTTAACTTCTTTAGGCTATATCCAGCCCACATATACTCTCCCGGTCATTCATCTCTCCATTCCCAATTGGCCACAGAAGGCAAGCAGTCGGCTAATGACATCTGGCCTAAATACTGTTTGAAATGGCAAATTAAATGCACATTGATTGCGTCCCCTTAATGATGATGCAGCTGATTTAGCGATTAAATTCTTGGAGTGAATAGTTGTTTTTATACCCTTGGAAATGCCTCCAAAGGACATTCCACCAAATTAGGGTTGGGGTGGGGTGAGAAGAAGACAGAACAGCCCAAATTCCATCAACATCTCATTCCAGATACAGGCTGTAGTTTCTTTTCTGCCCTAAGAGAAGCAGTGATTCAAATAGCAGAATATTGTTGCAGCTGACAGTTTTAATTCCTTCTATATTTTTTCCTCCACCTCCAAGGATAAAACCCTTGAAACATACAAACTCATTTTAAAAAAAAAAACCCAAATATTAAATGCAGCATTGCCTTCTAGGTTGATATACTCTTTTTATATTTTACATAAATGGGACAAATGGGACATTGCACTAATTAAGATCAAGATATCAGTTACACAACACAGAGACAAATGTAACTGCACACGCAAGGCATACTTTAAAATACAGCCCATAATAAAATACAGCCCCAACACCGTATGTTGATTAGGACACAACATCTCCCTTTCCCTCCCGATGTAATTTGGCAGTGACTTCTTTAAAGGCCATGCCACTGTGAACTAATCCTCTTACCAGTATGGTGTGCCAATGAAAGAATCCCTCTTCTGCATAGTCTTCATGTTTTTGGCTGATACTCCAAAATCGGCTGAAAAGAGTTGAAATCAATTTCAATTCTTCAATTAATGTTGCAGCTGCAGGTTGCAGTTAAAAGGGCAACCTTTAATTATATCACTACTTGGTTTATTTCTCAAAGCAAGCATACAATTGAAACTTTAACCTGGATGGATACCAAGGACTCTCTACATCTTATTGTACTACAATTCCCATATTGGGGAATTGGCTCTACCCATGTCTAGTCTATACTAATGATCTGAAACATGTTAAAAGTATAAAAACAATGATACTGTTAAATGATGGAATCTATACCCACAAAACATATTATTGCTAAATATTTTTCTCTTAAGACAGACTATTTCAACGTGGGTGAGTATTTGAGAAGGATGTGAAAAAGTAACTTAGTATTCTGATTAACTTGCTTTTTTTAGATAACCATAATTATAGGGATGGTAAAGAAAATACTTCTAAATCTCCCATCAAGTTAGAGTAGAATTTTGCTTTACTATAAGAGCGAGACCATTCACTGCCAGGGACTTCACCCCCATCCCAACACACAATTCATGGTTTTGCTATTTAAATTCAATTTCTTACAGTAAGTATTATTTCCACCTCTTCCCAGAAATTTCCACTAGAAAGATGATACAAAGCAAGACATGTGAGCCTTCTCCACTCATATAGTAATGATGCCAATTCTCATGAAACTCAAAAAGAATAGCAAGCAATGATTTATACACAAGCCCTCACAGAACAATAAGAAAAATGCTGAGTTCATAAGTAGCTTTCAGTGTCGCCTTACATTCCTACGCCTACTACTTCTGCTTTTATTAGTCTTTTTAATGAGCCTAATTTCTTTATCAACTTGTGTACTGGACTTTTTATTGTACAATTTCATATTTTATAACTGCTGAGAATGTACATGCTGTTAAATTATGTTCTTGGAAGAACTGGAACTCTCATAATTCTACCCTGAATAGACTAAGATGGGACAAGCATGAAGATGAATATATGGTGACGATAGGAAGACAGCTTGAGAGGGAAGATTACACTTAAAAGTAATGATAGGGCATGCAAAATTTAAACTTCTGTTCTGCTCCTGAAAAGATAAATGCTTATTGATTGAGGTATATGATTATAGCATTGTCTTCTAAATACCGGCCCAATACGAATTTGCTCTGCAAACAGGTTTTCCATTTAGAGTTAATCAATTTGCAAAAACTTTTGCTTATAAAGGAGAATCTTTTAAATGAGTTCTAAACAAAAGCATCCAATCCCAAGGAACCATTTCTAGACAATTAAGAGTTGGGATAGCGAGTAAAAATCCTAAGACTCTAACAAGAGCATTAGAACAGCAGCTATCCTTATGTGGCAGCATGGAAAAGGTTGGCCTTTTGGACAAAGAGATACTGTTTAAGCCAGTAAGAGAAGAGAATTCTTTGGTGGTTGTGTCTTTCTCGCTGTGGCCAATGTTACATTCCACAAAGTTCACAAAATGACAAAGTTGCTGAACTGACTACCCCCCAAGCGTGCGCGAATTAGCAGCACACACACACACACACACACACACACACAACATTACACTTTCTGGAAGGGGATGGAGGGGAGATATCAGAATTAGAATTCTTTTATTGGGCAAGTGTGATTGGACACACAAGGAATTTGTCTTGGTGCAAATGCTCTCTGTATACATAAAGAAAAGATACATTTGTCAAGATCACCAGCAAGCACTAAAGTTCTGAAGATGAAACGAAGCACCTAGCAACTATGATTATGTCTCTTTCCCTTACAAAATCTCAGTTAAAAATCATTATTTTCTTTCAAAAAATGTTTATCAATTTATACCAGCTTACACTAAACTACATCCCTGCTGACTCTCTCTCTACATTATTTATGAACATATTTAAAAGCATTAGGCTCAATACAATCCATACAAGTTTCTGTTCAGAAATCACCTTTCAATTGTGAGAATTGAAATTTATTCTTGTGCCATGATTTATATTCTTAAATAAAGTCTCTATCCTTGTTCCCTGGGATATCCTCAAATATTGATCTTAAGATTCTGCCTTTCTTCCTTTCCTAAAAGTTATGTAATTTCACATACGAGTTGTTTAAAAAAAAAGTTCTGTATGGATACCATCATTTTGCTCATGGAGTCTAAATTCACTGTAAATTTCATTTACATTATCTGTGTTATATGGATTATAAAAAGCTGTAAATCTCCGAGAGGCAACTAATCTATACTCTTAAGACTGAAATAGGAACAAGAATTTTATTTGCATTGTTTCTGACTTCATGGGGCCTCTCTCTGGTAGCTTTTGGCCCCATGATCAAATGTATTTAGTCTTCTTTGTTTGGAGAAATAGATTTCCAGTTAAAATATTTTTGCATTTTGTCATGGCTAATAACATGACAAAAGCCCACCAAGGCTGCAATCCGGTGCATGCTTTTTCAGGAGGGAGGTCCATTAAATAGTGGGACTTCTTTCTAAATACAAGATTGTACATTAAGAACTTATTGAAAGGAAATTCAGATATCTGGTCAATAATAAAAGCTGCTGGATTACATTCAGCAAATTCTTCTTTTCCAATCCAACAAATTCTGAACAGTGAAAAAGGCTGGAGGAAGACCAATCTAACAAAAGACTATTATTTAACGGCTAAATGTGCCTAGTTGTCTGATAGCTATTTTCATGACAAAATAGTCCCAGCTATTAAAAGAAAGCCCTTCCCTACTTTTCATACTTACTGAATACAAGAATCAATCTTTTGATAGAACAACTATTTCTCATTAAGAGCTAAGTACATTTCTTACCAAGTTTAATATCTCCATCTAGGGTTAGCAACACATTGCCTGCCTTCAAGTCTCGATGGATAATCTTCTTGCCATGCAGATAGTTCAGGGCTTCCAGCATCTGGCGACAAATCACCTGGATCTGGGATTCAGTCAGGCCTCGATCCAGCTCTATAAAGCAGTTGGAAAGACTTCCTGAGTTATACTTTGTTCTGAAATTCAATTAGCAGTAACAGGCACAGACTGAGAGTGACAACCAATTGAAACATAACTAGTTGAGTAATAAATGACAAGGGATAAAGACCAAAACCTGCAATATAGGTACTACTATGACTTAGGACCACAGTTGAGCCCAAAACTTCTGTTGCTAAGTGAGAATTTGTTAAGTGAGTTTTGCCCCATTTAATTACCTTTCTTGCCACAGTTGTTAGGTGAATCACTGCAGTTGTTAAGTTAGTAACATGGTTGTTAAGTGAAGCTGGCTTCTCCATTGACTTTGCTTGTCAGAAATTTGCAAGAGGCCATTGCATGACCCAGGACATTGTAACTAAATTTGAGTCAGTTGCCAAGCTTCTGAATTTTAATCATGTGACCAGGGGAATGCTGCAACAGTCGTAAGTATGAAAAATGGTCATAAGTCACTTTTTTCAGTGCTGTTGTAACTTCGAATGGTCACTAAACAAACAGTTGTAAGTTGAGGACTATGTTTTGGGGGCCATGGCCTGTTTCCTCTTAAATATAGGTAACTCATGTTAATATGTAAAATCTATCACCCATACTAAATACAGCTTTAAAAAAAAATCAATTTCATTTTTAGTGTTCAGTTCAAAATCAGGTTTAAAAACTCAAATGCCATTGTTACCAAAAAAAATCAAGATGCTGTAAACAGTGTGCACTGGCTGTTTCATTTGTCACACCCATTAACAGCTTTCCCCTCTTTCCTCACTGGAGGGATGCTTCAAAAAGAATAGCAAGCATTCCTCTGCTTAGAAAAAATTAGAAAAAAGATAGCAAGAGTCCCTCTGCTTAGAAAATATTCGAAATATTAAATCCTGACTGAGGCTATCATGAGGCAGTACAAAAGGATACTTGGCCCCATATAGCAAGAATAATATTTTTAAAAAATATATTGTTTACCTCATGTAAATACAAGAGATAAAAAAAAATCACACCTCATCTCTTGTTTTTACTTCAAAGCAAGAAGATAGTGATCCAAATATGGAGGGACAGTACAGATCTAAATGATTTTGTGGTTGCTCTAGTGAAATTTCTCTTCACTTCTAGCAAAACAGTCTCCCTGATAGTCTGGCAACAAAATAGATTAAAGTTTGAGTGTCATGGAGGAATGGTTTGGAAAATCCATTGGAGGATTATTCTGTATTGTGGTATGTCTTTGTGTGTTGTCTGTTTTGTGATTCTTAGCTTGGAGGATAGTCTGCAGCCCATATTAAGGCTTATGGAATGACAAGGATAACAATCAAATAAGTGCTTAGCCATTCATTAGCATCCAAAAAGAGTTAGGTTGTAATAGCTATTTCAAGCTGAAAGAAACCTATTCTGTCAAGGGCCTCCTAAAAGTGATTGCCCCTTGGTCAAATTCATAACCATAAATATTGCTGGTTGTCTGAGCCACCACAGCAGGAATGGGTATAAGAGGTACTAGGTGTAAGTCAGTCTTCAGAAAGACATTTTTTTCTACAGGCAAGATAAACTTTAGAAGATGCAATTCCTGCTTACTTGATATATTTTTTGTAATTGATTTTTTTGCTCTTTTTTCAAACATTTGTACTGACTTTATCTCTTTAAAGGATTCATATGGCTTGCAAACAGCAACTCTTTCTTCCTTACATGGGTTAAAAACATAGAAACTAAGAATCAGAAAACAATTGACACACAAAGACATACCACAATACCAAATAAATGAGGCCAACCATACATATGCCAAATTCCAAAAGCTTTGTAGGACAGACCCATCCAAAACTCTGGCCCACTGCCCAGAAAAGGGGAAAAAACAGGCCCTTAAGGCTGAAAGCCAACAGGGCTGTTTAGCATACCAAGAGATGCATGTTCATTGGAGGAAAAGATAAGGATATTTATATAAATAAATATGTAATTCTCCAAGGTGCAATTATTACAGATGACTAATAATAAAATAAGGAAAGCCTTGACTCACAGTTATTGTAACAGAAATTAGTTTCCTTATTACTATTATTTTGCTAAACCATAATAGATAAGACGTTTAAGAATATTCCCTATCTTTTGCATTAAGTAGCATGGCCCCATATGAATGTCAAACCAGGCTAATCCAAGAGGGAGCTGTTAAGTAGGACAGCCATTCTTTCAGCAGCAAAACATCTTAAACAAAGGAAAAAAGCTCCCATTTCAGTGTTTATTTCTTATTTGCCCTCTTCCAGTAGAGAAGCTGAATTCATTTAAAGAGCAGACATGCTTGAAGGGATAGGGGGAATGCTCCCTTTGTCAGCATTATATTTCTTCAAAATGTTTCCAGAGATAGCAACACTTGGCTCTGAGAGAGTTTTTCGGGATTTCAAGTCCTCTCCAAGCTGAAATTGTCTTCAAGGTTGCAATGACCAAAGGATAGGCTCATCATGAAACTAAAGGGCACAGTTGGGATTCATTGCCCGTGATCAGAATCAGTGTTAGAATCAGAATCAATTAATTGCACATTAAAGTTTCCCCCCTCATTCTTTAGATCTACAGCTTCTATGCCAAGTTACCCCTAAACAGGCAGAACTTCACTACCTCCTGACTTAAGGGCGGCTGCTGAACTTTTAGTTTTAATTTAATTTGAAATATTGCTTGATTCTTCCACTTTGCTTTCTTCTATAAACACCTTTTCAGTCCTGGAGGTGATTTGTGAAAAAACAACAACACAGTGCAATTAAAATCCCGAAGAACCCAAAACTCTTTTTTTTCCTATCAGGAAGACCATGAAACCATCCCTACAGGTCACTTTGAAATATCAGCTGTAGCAAATTAAACAACATCACTAGAAAAAAAAAATTTTTTTTTTTAAATAGACTTGCTCTATCTTTGTTTCACCACTGGCCACCTCTCACTCTGCATGATAAAGCCACAACTCCCAGACTGATCTCAAAAATAAAGCACAACATCCATAGGTTTGCTTGCTATGTTGTATTTTAAGAAAAACTGTGAAAATAAGCTTTTTCTATAATGGCATATGTCTTCCTACTACTGAATTTCCTGTATACACATATAATTATTGTCAGGTTATTATGGGAATATTTTATGCGCATACCTTTAAGGACAAGCTGTTATATTCTATATACAATATGGGATGACCTACTGTTAGTACCTATTTATTTAGCAACATACTCCAAAGGTTAACAATATGAAGCTTTATTGTACTTACCTAGCATAGTAGCATCTACAGCTCCACCAGGACAAAACTCAATCATAATCTAAAGAGAAAGACATAATTTAAGTGGATAGGCAGAAATGATATTTATATAAGATATACATTTTATTTCATAAACTATGCAAAATGAACAAATAGGTTATGTAAAACATACACATATTTGATATGTGTATACACACACATAACTATATAACAACTATATATAAAAAACCTGGAGTCATTGAATGAACAACCACAACAATAACAATAGTCAGTTATTTCTTCTCCAGAATAAAGTTGCATTTCAGTAACATTTTCACAACTGAGCTGGACTCCTTGCTGCTTCTGAAATATTATAACAAGGTGTTAAGATGCTCTTTCAAACGCAAGAATAACTAAAGAGATTTTCTTTCCTCCTATGAGGAAAGATAAACGTTGTGTTAAAGTCAAGGCAAACCATCTTACAGTTCTTGTAATTTTTAACAAAAATAATAATTTGTTTCAAAACTATTAATACATTCAAAGCACACTGGGTTGTCTTTGAGTTAGACTGGAACAACAGTATTGTTATAGTTTGGGCCAGATGTGCCCTACAATTATTCCTTTTAGTTTAGAAATCAAAACTCTCCAGTCCCTATGTGTATCAATGTCTCTGTCCAAAATGGCTAAGGCTCACACATTGTCTCTTCATGTATTTAGAGATTTTGACTGCTGTTTGAAGGATTGTTCCAGATATTTGCACTTGATAATAGAATACGATAGTGGTCATAGCAGATGTGATAACAGCTTGAAAGCCTAGACCAGGGGTCATCAACCTTTTGGACCTCAGGGACCAACAAACTCATAATTTTAAATCCCAGGGACCACCGGTTCTGTGGGCATGGCCTAATTTGTGGGTGTGGCTTGGTGGTCATGTGACTGGCTGGGTATGGCTTGTATATAAATATTATAAATATTTTTATAAATATTGATTTTTTTTATTAAAAAAAGAGCAATTTTTACCCAAAATCAGGCAAAGCAGGCAGGCAGATTGAGCTCACAGAATCATTCAGTGATCTATCTATCGGCCATTGGCTAGCTCAGTCTGTCAAATAAAATTTGCTTGCCATGAGTCTGCACTGAATAATAGAAACTTCAGTCCTAAGGGAGGTTCGGCTGTGCTTAAAAGCAGAGCCGAAAATCTAAAGACTAGCTAGAAAGCAAGAAATCCAACCATTTCCTGCTTCCTAGCTAATCTAAATCTCCCGGCACAGCAGAACAGATGATGGTCAGAAAAAGGAAAAATAGCAATTTAGCAAACAAGTTAACTGGGTAAGGAGTGAGTGGGTGGGGAGGGTTCCCGCGGGCCATGTGGGCGGCACAGCCTTGTGTTTCTGTGCAACCTGGATTAATTGCTTTGGGGGGGTGCTCTGAGGGTGAGATTTCTCTGAGGCCCACCAAAATTTGATGACCGCTGGCCTGGACAATTCACCATATTATTTGGAAGTTTTCTTCTGCTTTAGGTTATTTCAATGATTATCAATTCTCAGTACAGATCTGCCTTTGAAATGTTTGGAGAGGGAGGGGCTGGAGGAGCTATCAGTTTTTAGGTTTTTGCTGTTCAGTTTCATCTGCTTTCACTATGCTAACAAGATATTTAGATAGAATATTTTGTACCTGTCATCATATCTTTTGAAATATGTTTCTTGATGCCCTCCCTTTAACCAAAACCAATCAGACTCACATTTTAATTTCTTTAATTTCTTGGCATAATCATATATCATATCATGAGTCGCCATGGGCAAATAGACGGCAATATAAATTCAATAAATAAATAAATATCAAATATGATTTTTTTATTGCAAAAACAGCTATTCTGAACCAATAAAATGTCAGCATTATTTTTATATTCAAGTAATACCGAGATCTTTTCCAACCAGAAATAGGAATGCTTATTGTCGTGGATGAGTTGAACCAACAAAGTTATTGCTTATAACTCTGTATATAGACAAGATTATAGATACAGACTATTCACATAATTGTCTGTCTTCAGTTATTTTGGCTTGTCCTATTTGCTCTCATAAGGTGGGCAGATTCCAGATCCCTTCCATAAGGCAATGCCATTTAGTGGGATATAGTACTTGTGCGTTTTTTTGTGGCAGTGCCCCTCCTTTGGCAATTTCCCCTCTGCAATGGAGTTCAAATGTTCCCAGCTCTGCTAGCCTTCCAAAAAGCTTTAAATTCCTATTTCCCACCTTCCCCAGTAGTAGGCCAGAAAGACAGATGAGGTGGAGTGTGATCTTGTCTGTGTCATTTGATATATTGGATATTTGATATCAAATAATTGGACGGAAACCCCGTGCAACTTAGAATACTTTAAATGACTACATATGAATTTTAGGTTCTATTTAATTAATTTTTGTTTTGCAAGTGAATTTGAACCGGCTAGGCCAATATCTGCAACTTGCTATAGGGCATAATTACCCAGGCAAGCCAGAAGAAGAGCGACTCCCTCCCAGGTACACTCATAAAATAATGCCAACCTTCCAAATTGGGCTGCATCTTTTGGATCAGATTTTAAGGAGTAAACGCTATATGTCTCCGCGGTTCTTTTGGATCAGATTTTAAGGAGTAAACGCTATATGTCTCCGCGGTTCTTTAAAGCATCCCTTTTACCATTTAATCATTTTTAAACCCACAAACCAGGAAAAACATTTGCTCATTCCTGCGCCATCTCCAAGTCTTCAGCTAGGATGAGACTTTGCAACATTTTATGTGTTGTGCATGCTCAAAAATTCCTTCCTTCATTCATTGGGCATACTGGGCATGCCCACAAATTCATTCTTTCTCTTGGTTGCCAATAATTCCCTACACTTTTTGTACTAGGGACAATCCTACAAGGTTTTCTCATTACTTTAGTTTGAGAGTTGCCATCAACCGTGTTGGAAAGCAGATTCCAGAAAACCCTTAATATAGAAAGCATTTACTCTGTCAGTCTGGGAATACTGAATAATTGAACCACGTTTTAATCTACAACAATTTTTTATAGAGATATTTGTAGAGCTGCTAACATGGCTCATTAAGCCATTCCCTAGTTGTTCATACGAATTGTAAGTGAAGCTCCTCTTGGCAGACCAAAGTCCCCAAACAACCCTACTGTTTGCATCTGGAGAACTCATGCTTTGAGAACTAGCTGGAGAACTCATGCTTTGCTAACAGTAAATTAATTTGGGATTGCTCTTACTGGTTACATTAAGTGCTGTTGCAAATGTTCCTATGCCATTTTAGTAGTTTATTGTCTTTTATTTTGATATGTTCGATGCATCTGTGACCTGTAATGAACAATAAAGCAAGATTCATTCACATTTTATTCCCCTCATACAAGCTTGAAATGTAGTCAATTAAGAAAACCAGTCACTGCAGAATCATTCCTCTCTGGTATACTCTGGATACAATATAATTGACGGCTGCTTAAATGGATTACTAAACTGTCCAGCTAAGCACCAACTGTTTGTCAACTTTTGGCTGATCTCAAAAAGCTAAGCAATATCAGACGATCTGTCAACTCATAAAACTCCAATTAAACTGATTTAATTGGAGTAACTGCCGAAATCCTGACACTAGCTAGGACATATAGGAAATCATCAGGAATCAGTGGGAAATTGAAAAAAAACAAAAACAACTGAAAAACAGCAAACTACATTTGTATGGTGCCAAGTAAACTCATACTTATGTCTGCAAAATTACTAGGAGAGAAGCTTAACTTGGAGACGCTATCTTAACTTAAAACACAGCCAGGGTTACAAAGCATTTTCATGTACCACTTCCAGATAGTAGTATGCACTGTAAATGGTAAAGCAAGACGTTTATACCACTGAAATATTTAAAGCAGTCGAATGAACACTGGCCAATTGAACTAGAAGTCCGTGATTATCTTCACTTCATATAACTATTCCAGTTCCTGCACTGAAATGTTTTTTTCACTATAGGTCTTGCTTCTTTTCCATCCAAGGATGTTAAAAAGTTTTATTTCTGCTTGAGACACTCATGCATGTGAATTTGTTATGTATCTTCATGATGGGGTTCTTCTATCTATCTAATATATCTGACTGCCCAATGTAGCTACATGGAAGTGGTCATTTTTAATTACTGTTCCCCTCCTTAAGGACAGCAAGAATGCTCCCCACTCTTAGGACCTTCCAGAGAATAGTTAAAACTTGGGCTTTATGGAAATCTTTTTTTTTTTTGAAAATTTTATTAATTTTTAAAAACAAACATAAACAAACAAAACATAAAACATAAAACCATAAAACATCTTTTTTGAAAGCAGCTTGATCCCGGGTTACATCTCTTCGTACAGACACAAATTCAAGTTCATGCTCATTTGTATATACCATTCCATATCTTATTACCATTCTACGTTATCTATATAGCTTCTCCCCTCTTTTAACTTTCTTAATTTTATTTTATTTATTTCATCTCAATTCAGATCATTATACTTATATTCTTTGTCTGTCCTGTTTCAGCTGTCTATTATCTTTTCTCATTAAACAAAATTTCTCCTGTAATCACTGATTGGAGTATGACGCCATCATACCTTTCCCCTAAAATTATAACACTTAATATAATATATAACTTCCATTCGGATTCTGCTTGGTACATTCTAAAACTACACACTGTATTTTAAAAAAAGAAAAAATTATGAATATATAATTAAAACAACAATCCATACCAATTCAATTCTATCATTAATATTAATATTCATTTAAATCTTAAACATTTTACACATTACTTTTCAAATAGATATCATACTTCTATGGGAACACTTATAAACTTTCCATAATAACTCCCCCCCCACTTCACTTATATTTTATAAAGCATTAAGTAGTTAAAATGTTCCCATTTCTTCCTAATTCAATTCTCTCATTTATTTCATTTCATTTATTTTGTTCACAAAAGTTTCACTAAATTGCACTGACTATTTTATTCCACTTTTTAATCATATGTTGTTTCCAATTTTCTAACATTATTTCTAATACAAATATAACAATACAATCTTATGTACCTTTGCAGAATCCCCTTTTC